ATCAAATTTCAGTCTTATTTTACATTTTTTTCATTCTTAGGAATGTCTAAATTCAGTTTAACTAGCAATTCCGTATTATATTTATAAATCTTTATAACATTATACAAAAATTAGATTTTTCTTAAAAACTGAAATTTTGCCGGGAATGGGGCTTTAAGTATAAGCCCTGGGCTTCTTTTTTTAAAGACCTTTGGATGGGCAAACAAAGAGGTGGACTTCTTTTCAAAATGAATGCTTTAAATAAATTTATGAATTGCTACTATACAGCAATTTTTAACTATGGAATTTGAAATTTAATTAATAGTAAATTTTAAACATGCTACAGTAGTACAATAAACTAATATTAATACTGACAAGCATATTAATAAAAAAAAAAACGTCCGTCTGAATGTAAGTACTATTTCGAAAGAAGCCCATACTATCCTGATTAGAATTTTCGAGATGGGCTTCCTTTCGAGACTAAGCCCATGGGGCTTCTTGTTGAGGTTATGGTATCGGCGATGTGGTGAGATTGTGGCACCACGGCAGACACTTGCCTTTTTTTATTTAACCAAAATGACTAATTTGGAGGGATCTGCAATTTAAAAGAACTTGTTTTTATATTAATTAAAGAGATTACTTGATTATTCCCAATTGACTCATATTACCAATATTTTAAAGAATATCTAACTAATTTCTTAAACTATAAGATTGTTTGGGATATATATTTTTAATATCATGTTCCATTGGTCTTTGATTTAAATTTTGTTTAAATTGTCCAAAATTGTATTGTTTCATAAAAGTCGGTTGTTCATTACTCTTGTATATTTTCATATACTGTATTTTACTTGAGATTGCTAATTTTGCCAACAGAAGTGAAAGTTTGTTCAATTCAATTCAATTTTGCTCTTCATCCCCAGTGAGACAATGGCCATGACATTGTCTCTCCATCTCTCTCTGTCCTGTGTTCAGATCTAAACTAATTTCCTTCAGACAGATCTGTGGTTCCATTATGCCAGCTTTTTTGGCCTTCCTCAACTTTGTCTAAAAGCTTTCCACTTGAAAGCAATTCACAAATGGCTCTGTACAGGCATGTGCCATAAAAATTTTCGGCACTTGGTCACAAGTATCAGTGATTCTGGTACCTGAATATTATTTTACATTTTCTCTAACACCTTCCTCCTTCATTATGCTTTATGTTTAAAAAAGAAATAAAAATGCTTGCTTCAATGACATTGATTTTTTATACATGGCTTTCAATTTCTGCATCCAGAGTTCAGCTTGCTGTCTGTCTGCGGAACATTCTGAAGCATGATTATCCAGGACGTTGGACAGGAATAGTGGAGAAGACAGTTCATTTTCTACAATCCAAGGATCCGGGCGCTTGGTTTGGTGCCCTAATCGGTGTCTACCAACTTGTTAAGAATTACGAGTAAGCATTATGCTTCAACGAACGATAATTTTTATAGTTCATGCAATGTATTCCCCCTCCTTCTTTCCAATGCAGTGTTTGGACTCAATGCTTTAGTATAATTTTTTCGTTAATGTTTTTAATAGGAAATAAATAGAATGAGAAACTAGAAAAAAAACAAAAAATTTGCTTTATAAATATGTACAGGAAAAAGTTAGTCTGTAATCAATACGCTTAATAAAACATTACTATATTTAGAGCTATTCAATAGACTGTTCTCTGATGTGTGTAGGTGATTAATTAAACTCTTTTAGTTTACAGTTGTTAACCAACCATAACACTTAAATTGAATTTATACTTAATCTGTATAGTAATGTACAGTATACCAATAAATCTCTTTGAATGAATGAGATAAAATAAATTTTGGCATACATTTAAATTCCAAACATTTCTAAAGTGTAATGTTAAAATTAATGTTTTTCTTCTTTTATTTTTAAACTTTTCTTATTTTTTTCCCCTCTTTTTCAGGTACAAGAAACCGAATGAACGTGAGCCACTGAATCAGGCAATGCAGTTTATTCTGCCGCTTATGTATGAATGCGTAGTACACTTGTTACCCGACCAATCAGAGGTGGCTATGCATATGAAGAAACAAATTCTGAAGATATTTTATGCTCTAACCCAGGTACTGTACTGGTCAAAATTATTGCAGATTTTAAATGCATTCAACCCAGTTGCGTTTTCGTTGAAATTTACATTGGCATTTTCGTTGACATTCTGGTTTTTTTTTTTAATTGTGCGGTTTTATTAAACATCCAAAAGTGTAAACACCAATTACAGGATAACATAAATATATAAGAATATGATAAAGATAAAAACATAACATTACAAAAGAATCATTAAAAAGTCAAATAATTAACTTCCACAAATAGATATTAAGGGATAAACACATTATTAACCAATTAAACTAACTACTACATGTACAGTATGTTTAAAATTTGAAAAATTACAATTAATCCAATTCAGAATATTCACAAACACACATGTTGTACAGGAATGAAATCCCAAACACTCGCACGAGAGAAATTTACATTTAAAATTGATTTAGAACGGAGACTACGAACAGGAACATTAGAAGTTAGAAAAAAAGATTCACATCTTTGAAAGCTCAGGAATTGTTTATTCAGAATTCAATGAAAATTGTTGTATTAACAGTTACTGAATAAACATACACTTACAAAATAGATGTTTGTTTATTACGAACTAACATGTAGTAAAGAAACAAGGTGATTAAATTAAGATTTTTAAGGTCGGTAGTTGGGAGTTATAGGCCTAGGCGTATTTTGTTTTTGACATCTTAAAAAGGAAGACGTGGTTGTCGTATACGACGTAAACAGTCTAGACACTCCAGTCAATAAATCAACAATAATAATAATAAAAGAAAAAAGAAAGAAACAAAAAAAAAACTCACCAATATATCTCTTCCAATAAATCTATCCATGTTATTTATCAAATGGCAATATATATATAAAATTATATATTAATATAAAAATTATATAGTGTTTGTCTTAGGGCACATAGAAACATTCATTAGATTATCACTCTTTTTAAAAATAAAATTGATGAGGGAGGACGTTTTTTTTTTTTTTTTTTTTTTAGGAAGGCATTTTTTTTTTTTTTTTTTTTTTTTTTTAAATCGGAACAATAGATTGTTTCGCTTTTGTTTTTATCGATGAGGGAGGGACTGTTTATGTTTGGTGTGTAATAGTAAATATTGTATAAAAACTAGTTTAATTTTATAGTTTTTTAAATCACAAAATTGCATTGTTATTTTTCTGCTGTTGAAATAATTGATGCAGCAAACAAAAATTTTTTAATTCCTGCATCAATATTTCCCGAATTTTTGACACGGGCAGGAGTGATAATCTAATAAATTTTTCTATTTGCTCTTATGCATTAGTCTTTTATTTCTTTCTTTTACTTATTATAGTAGTTGAATTCATTTCTTTAATATTATTATAAATGTACCGTTTGTAGCAGAATTAAACATTTTAATTTCAACTGTATATTTATGATAATTTATAATTTTATGTGTGGAAAATTAATAAAACAAACAATTATTGTATAAAATTATTACAGTTTGTAATTAAATTTATTTCCAATAAGTCACAGGTATATTACAAAAGAGACAAAAAAAAAATAACAAGGCACTATTATATATAACTACTTAATAATACTATACAATATAATACTATATAATATTTCAAGTATTTGACATTATTCCTACATTAATCCATATTATGTGGGTTGATTGTCTTACAACTTACAATTTTTTTTTAAATATTGTAAAATATATTCTAAATTTACAATTAATTCATAAAATTTAATATTTTTATACATTCAATTATATAACATTTTGATTGAATTACCGTTGCAGCTAATTTTACATTCTTAAAATGTTGTCGAGAAGGAAAGGTGATCAACTCTGCTAAGTACGTCACTCACCTCCGCTGCATTAATATTGTATTGTAATGAATACTCAATATATAATTTATGGTGTGCATAATTACTAGCTTAATCTGTATCGTTATAACCTTAGGCTGCAAGGGCAATGTTAACATGGTTACTCTGCAAGAGCATTGCAATAGCTAACATTTGTCTTTTCAGTATTTTCTACCACTGGATTTGATTAATGAAGAAATCTTTACTAAATGGATGAAAATATTCCAAACTGTTGTCGAAGCCCCAATTCCACAGGTAATTAAACATAAGAAATACATACACTTTTTTTTTTTTTTTTTACTGAAGTGGGTTGCTTTAGCCCACTGAAACACAATCAAAGGGTATTGTCTTATAGTGTAAAAAAAAAAGCAGGGAATGCAAGCAGTAACTGCATTCCAGATTGCTAGCTATGTCTATCCTATGTCCCAGAGGCTAGAAAATGAAATGCAGCGATGTGTTTGCACTGTTACTGTATGCTTAAACGGAGATTAGAAAGTAGTATTGTCTCTGCAGGTCTAAGCCTACTATAGCATGTGTGTCCCGCAGATAGACTTGCAGAACAACATTAATATACACTACAGATGAGCATCAATGCACATAAACATGTTACCTAATAATTTGTGCAGTAATTTTCTTAAAGGTTACTTGTACTAATCTGTTTTAAAGGAAAATGATATACTAATACAGTTGAACTTGCCTAGAAGTAGAATCCAAAATGGCATTGAAAAATTGGTATGTAAAATAAGATCGACTTAGAAATTTTTCATGTTAGGCAAAGTTGAATTAAGGAAGTTTAACGGTAATTATTGGTTAGTGATTTACATATCTCCTGTTATCTATAATTTGCACTGGCTTCCCATTAAAAGTCTCCAACAACCCACTTACCTACTTGATCTCCTTCCTATATCTCCTTACCCTTCCTCTGTTCTTCTGACCTAAATTTGCTCATTTTTCCCAAAGTTAACACCAAATCCTACGGCCACAGATCATTTTTATTTTCAGCTGCCACACTTTGGAACCCCCTCCCTAAACATATTGCAGACTCAGTTTCAATTGCTATTATTAAAAACCAAACTCAAAGACATTTTTGGCAATCTAAACCTGCACAGCTCCTTTGATTTTCACCTCGGTTTAGTGATATTGGCACTTTATTTATAATAATTATTATTATTATTATTATTTACATACAGGAAACACTGCAGGTTCTCCCAGAGGAACGGCCAGAACTAATTTGGTGGAAGGCCAAGAAATGGGCTTTGCACATCTTAGCAAGAATGTTTGAAAGGTAATGAAATTGAATAAACCACAATCAAAATATATAAATACAAAAATATATAAAGAATGTATAATAATACCTTAGTTGATTAAACATTAGGTGATTAATACCACTAGTAACAATATTAGATGGACTTAACTTAGTGCAAGGTGCTTAAAAATATGGAACAAAAAAAAAATGAAAAAAGGAAAAAAGTAAGAAAAATACAGTACACCAATGTAGCACCCACATGAAGTATGGGGTTACATTGTCACTGCCAGCAAGAGATACTTGTGTATCTACACTGTTCGGAATTGGGTACCTCCTAACACTAACTGGCGTGGTGTAATAATGAATTAAAAA